TCCCCCCGTTGACAGTTCACTGTCTAGCACTGGCTTCGTAGTGCACTGATCGATTAGGCTAAGCTAACCTGTAGCTGCTCCCTCCACACTCACAACAACTTCATACAGACATAAATAAAGCAGCTGTATTCGCCATACAGGAAACACACATTTAAAACGGTTTTGCCTGCCGTTTTTGTGTACACAAGCATTCATTAATGGTTCGGAAAGTGGCACTGTACCTTAATAATATAAAGGCTTGCATTTGCGTGCATTTCCTGCTCGGAAAGTGGCAATGTACTGAGAGTGGAGGTGTCCTGCAGGCAGGCTCCATGGCATGGACCTGTCAGCTCCGGACTGCGCAAAATGCGTACATGAAGCGCTACGTCATGAACGCAAGAAATCTACCCTCGTGGGGGTGCGCTCATGTGATTGGCTTAGAATTGAGGAGACATCTGATTGGCTATAGATAGAAACAATTACAAGTACGAATCGGGTCACCGTCAGGGGAGTCTCAAAAAACCCACACACGAATGCACAGCGATCCATGCACAGAAAGCGGTTTGTGTTTGTAGGTTCAGAGGATTTAAACGGAAAACAAATATGTGAGGATCAAAAATACATATGTAAAACTTTTTTCTGTATTTGGATTTTATTTACATGAATATGAAACGGAACACATTTGTGTGTGCATTGACAAACACAAGTGTGGATCCGGATATACAAGTGTGAATCCTTTTGCGGATCATGAAATACAAGTGTGAATCCTTCTGTGTGCATGTGTGTATTATGAGACTGTTCTGAGCCCATATTAAACCACCAGTTCTCCTTCACACCCTCCAAGAACTGTGAGTTTCTGGCTCTGCACCCTCGCTGCATACCTCCTGCCTCAAAGACCTACAGGGTAACTTGGAGAGGATCTGTACTTTACTTCACTCGGCTCCAAGATTTGCTCTCATGGCTTCTCCTGCTAAACCTTTACAGATGACACTAAACTGCTTCCCTCTTTTCCACGGTCTGAAACACAGGTGGTCTTATGTATCTCTGCTTGTCCGGCTAACATCTCCCAGTGGATGCTTGCACACCACCTGAAGCTCAACCCAGACAAGACAGAACTGCTCTTCCTTCCAGGTAAAGACTCTCCCATCCATGATCTCTCCATCAACACCGGCACCTCTGTTGTTTCCCAAACTCACACTGGCAGGAATCTGGATGTGATATTCAATGACCAACTTTCCTTCACTGCTAACATGGCTGCTACTCCGCTCCTACTCAACATAAGGTTACGTCTACTGACCCAGAATGCGACCTGGCTGGTCTACCTGCAAGCACCATCCAACCTTTACAACTCATTCAAACTGCTGCAGCTCAACTGGTTTTCAACCACCCTAAGTTCTTCCCATGAACACACCACTCCTCCGCCTTCACTGGCTGCCAGTGGCTGCCTGAGCCAGGCTGTTGTTCCCTCGTGCTTCAAGGTAACCACCATCATACCTGTGCTGAAGAAGTCATCACGTTCCTGCTTCAATGACTTCCGCCCCGTAGCGCTGACTTCCACCATCATGAAGTGCTTTGCGAGGCTAGTCATGAAGCACATAAAATCTGACCTCCCCCCCCCTTGCTGGACCCGTTTCAGTTTGCACACCGAGCGAAGCGGTCCACTGATGATGCAATCTCCTCTGCTCTCCACCCAGGCTTCACCCACTTGGACACTAAAAACTCTTATGTTAGGATGCTGTTCATATAATCTAGTTCAGCGTTCAACACCATCATCCCCCAGCAGCTGGTTTGTAAACTAACAAACCTGGGCCTCAGCCCCTTCTCTGTAACTGGCTGCTGGACTTCCTCACTGCCAGACCCCAATCTGTACGGGTCGGCAACAACACATCAGGCACCATCACACTCAGTACGGGGACCCCCAAGGATGTGTGCTCAGCCCCCTGCTCTTCACCCTGCTGACCCACGACTGCACACACACCCATAGCTCCAACCACTTCATCAAGTTTGCGGGTGACACAACCGTAGTGGGTCTCATCCGCAACAACGACGAGACCCACTACAGGAGGGAGGTGAACCAGCTGGCCACGTGGTGCATAGATAACAATCTCTTTCTCAATGTGGAGAAAACAAAAGAGATTGTTGACGACTTCAGGAGAACCTGCACCCAACACCCCCACCCACTGACTATCGGTGCTGCTGCTGTGGAGCTGTTTTATTTAGGTCGTAATATGTGCATATGTATAAATGTGTCTTTGATTGGTATATACATATTTGCATACATATTTTTATATGTATTTGTTTTTGTATTCAGGATTGTGGGAAACGGTATTTCGATCTCTCTGTCTGTACACACAAACTGAAAGATTGACAATCTTAGCCGGCGCCGGCTAAAATGATTGGTCGTACTTTTTACAGTACTACGGCTTCCACAGATGACATCTTTTTATGGATTTTTTGTCAAAGCACTTAAGATATTCATTGCTATCGGGATGTTAAGAGCATTCCATGGAATATAACAAAAAGTGTATCTCGAACCGGTTTCTCAAACTTACCTACCCCACCTTTAAATTAAACTGTTTGAAAAAGGCGGACAATTATGTATGTTTCTGCCACGTGTTTTAGAGCTTAATGACAGCCATGGAGGAATCCCTTTACATTATAAACACATACATTATATTATATATGTGTTTTACTATCAAATAATCACGTCTTAGGTAAATGTAAAACATTCATATTTAAAGCCAGTGGAAGAAAGCACCACATCCTGTCCTTTGCTCGGATCGTTTATTCAGCTTTAGACAATTAAACATCCAGTTAAAACTCAAAGAAGGTAAATATGACAAAATAAGGTTTTACATATTTTAACCATCACCAAAAAGTTAAATATTTTATGAAAAGCAAAACATTATATATTTAAAGGGCCCATGTCATGGCCATTTCCACTGATCATAATTACATTGTTGAGGTATACTAAAATAGATTTATACTGTGCAATTTTCCAAACTCACATTGGTTTCGCATACAGCATCTCTGTCAAGCATGTGTATTCAGCAGTATTCACTTTCTCCACTAAACGACTCGTTGGAGCTCTTGCCCCCTCCTCCCTGTGAGCCTAGTGTGCTCCGATTGGTCAGCTCGGCCACTCGTTCTGATTAGTCAACCACCAGAGAGGCTGCGCCCATGTCAGTGCTTTTCCCGGCTGCTCTCAGCGTAACATCAGTCTTATCATGGCGTCGGTACAGCGGTATATTTTATATACATATATATTTTTAACTGTTGTTATAGAAGAGTGTGACGGCCTCAGGGCCTTTGTCTTACGGTGGGGTGGAGCTGAAGAGGGTAATCAGCGCGATCACGGACACCTCCGTAGCCGGTGCTATTAATCCCAGCGGCCCGGAGTCTCTCTCCAAAGCGGCTGCAGAAGGACGAACTGAGCGACCCTCTCCCCTCGACCACCTGTCTCTGCATTTACCACAATAAATGTGCCGTGGTTTTGTAAACTCGTGTATGTCTCCTTGTCTTTCCGTTGTGGCCTACGAGCTACTCTCATAACAAAGAGTAAGTTATTTTTACCCGTTATAAACTACTACTGTTTGATGAGAAATCAAATCATGGTTTGCTATATATGAATTCAGGGAAGAAAGGATAGGCCTACTAAGTATTTCCATTAAACTTTATTTTTAGAAATGTACAAAATGAACATAAATATACATATATACACGGTATATCATCCATTCCTCCTCCTCGCATCTTGCCTGCGCACAGTCGGTGCGGTGCCTTTTAGCACCCTCAGTAGTAGTAGAATCCCTTCCCCGTCATGGATTGTCCGCCAGGATCTGGCTGGACGAAATCAAATGCAAATCACAAAATATTAGAGAAACTTAGTTGTTTTAGATTCGTTAGTAGTAGTTGTGTAATGAACAGCTTGCCTGCTAATATGCTAACCTAGCTTTGTTTACCTTGGTAGCTAACACGATATGAACGTTAGCTTGGAGGAAAGGCAACTATAATGCAGTGTAATAAAACTACTATGAACAAAAGCTAGTGGTTCATATTAGGCTAGCAATAACGTGTTTATAATTGCAATCGTATACGGGTATTCTGCTACGTTCGGTCATACAATGTAACTTGCATGAATACATTGTTTTGCGCTAGCATACAGCTAGCCTCGTTAGCTACATGCAGTATATGTACGGTCACAATGTACGGTAAATCACAGTACAGTATACTGTATGAGTATTCCGTGTGTGTGACTGTAGACATTCTCCTGCCATGACAAACATGTAAGGCCATCTGCTGACATTGTAGTTGATATATTTAAACGCTAGCAACGTAGCATCACAAAAATGTTTTTCTGACCAAAACTAGCTCTACCTCCGTGTGTTAGATCGCTACGCCAGCTATAATGTAATTACGTTTCGCGACTGACCGGCAAATCACCCGGAGTATACTGTCAATAGGTATTTTGTGTGTGAATGCAGACATTCTCCTGCTATGAGATACATGTATGCAAGGCCATCTGCTGATATTAGAGTTGATATATGGAAACTCTAGCAACTTAGTTAGCACAGTTAGCACTGTGTCAATGGCTTAGCAGTCCAACACAGTTTACACATTTAAACAGTCTTGTTTGATAAATACACAAATAACAATGCAAACTTACAGGTTGTATACCCAGATCTTCCCCTGCTCCAAACGGTCCAAACAAGCTGTGCATATCCGGCCTCAAACTGGGCAATGTTTTGGAAGCTTTCGTCTGTGAAATGCCGGTTCTTCGAACCTCTGGAGGAGGAACACGACGCTGCTGGTGTGGCCATAGCTCTTCGGGATTGGTCCATTTCGTTCCGGGTACCGCATGACATCAGGCGGTACCCGGAACTAAATGGAAGACTCAAATGGGCAGTGACGTATCTCCAACGAGGCGTTTTGGGGAGGTATTTTCTGTGTTAGAGTTTTACTCGCTACAGGGTGTACTTTTAGGGTTTTGACTCTGCACACCGTTTACATGCATAAAAACCTTCATAACACACAAGGGGACGGGTAATAACCGGAAAAGCATGACATGGGAGCTTTAACACAACAACAATTCAAATGATGATTACATGTTTCACACTTTAAGAGGATAAATATACACGCACTATATGAATAACTACTACAACAAAAACATATAAAGTAATTCAGATGTTCACAGAGACAAAAACACGTTACATTTAGTGTCGCCCATTTTTCTCAATTTCTAATCCTCAATTAGTAAAAATAAATTATTAATAACATTAATTAATAATAATAATTCTGTTAGTAATTTAGTTTCTCCCCTCTTCAGGTTGTGATTTCTATATTTGAACTAGAGCCATTCAATAAACCCAGAGAGCAGATACATATTAGAGAAGAGTGAGCTTGTAGCAGTAAATATACCAATGGGTTTACTTAGCACAGATGAAATGAAACTTTTCACTGTCAGCCTTTTTGTACCACTTTCCATCTCCCTTCATGACTCCAGCCATGCCACACTGCTCATCCATTTGGTCTGGGGCCCAGTTGTTATAGCAGACCAGACGATCATTGACCCAGAGCCACAGATCCAGAGTGCAGGTGTAGCGCATTCCCAGCCAGACGGGAGTGTCGGTCATCTTGGCTCTCTCTTGGACCCATCTCTGCTGGTGACTGTCAGTGATGGAGACCAGGTCACGGTGCTTCGCTCTGCAGTAAGTCAGGGCCTCATCCCAAGTCTTACTCTCATTGATCAGGATCACTTTATCTGTCATTGACATGTGTTTAGTTAGGGTAACCATTTATTGCAAAACAATTCTCAACTTCAATAATATAGCACCTTTCATATAAGGATCATTTGTTTAAAAAAAGAAAAAATGAAAGTTGCTTAAGTTAAAGAGATAGAAATACAATGAAAACCAATGACAAGGAAACATAAGGCCAGAAATGATGTGGCACCTTCTGTAAAAGCCAGGTTTAAAAGATCTGTCTTAAGGACAAAAACAAACAAATAGCTTAGTGATATTTAAAACTGCTCTTTCACGTTTTTAAATAATTTTAAATACAATTATATTTGTTCTATAGTATGAATAAACAAATTATCCAGATCTCTAATTGTGTGTGTATTATACATATTTTTATCCACAAAAGGATATTCAACATACACGTATAAATATTTAACAAAAAAACATTCAATGACTTTTCCAAAACTCACCGTCATAGCAGTAGAAGTGTTTTTCCTCTGTGCAGATGTCGGAGCTCCATTTTCCATTTGGCGTAGTCATAGCACAAGTCTTTTTGGCTTCATCTTTAGATGAGTCCGGATCCCAGTGTCTGAAAGAGAAATTCTTCCCATCTGACCAACTCCAGGTGTCTCTGAACAGACCGATCCACAAGTCAGGAGAGCCATGGTGATCAGTGAATTCTTTGACCCGTTGGTTGAATTCTGTTGAATTGATGTGTGTGATTCCACTGACCAGGTCAGTGTGATGTTCTCTGCAGTAGCTCTGAGCCTGAAGCCAGTTCAGTTCAGGTTCATCAATTACAAAGTATTTCTGTTGCCCTGTTTCTGTGAGAATGAAAAGACACATTTTAAAAGTTTCAAAAATATGTTTTCCTACTTAAATCATGCTAAACAATGATGTTAAATATAATGAACACGATCTCACTAAAGTTTCAGATTGATGAAAGTGTTTGGTATAATAATGAAGATTGCATAATCAAAAAATAGGCCTGTACTTTACCTTACAATTTATTGTAATCACAGTTACCAATAATGTTATTTTAAAACTAAAAAGCAAAACATGTTTTCATTAAATGTAACTCTGGAACAACTTGAGTTATCTGTCAACTATTGTTACACAGTATGATATAATTTATATAGCGTTAATAGTGACTTATACTCACCATTGTAGCAGATAAACTTATGGATTTCAGGACAATAGACATCGTGCCATTTTTGTTGGGCCCTAATCACCACACAGTTCTCTGGATTGACACCTCCATTGCTCGGCTGATCTGGATTTCGACCCCATTCAGGCGCACATCCTGGTTCACATTCTGTAGGATTGTACTTCTCCCCCGACAGAGACCAGTGCCACTCTTTGATACTTTTTTCTTTGATGCTCCTCAGTCCAATCCAGGCGTCTGTAGTCTGTGAAGAGTTAGGCAGTCTCTCCACGTCTCTCATGTCAGACACTGTGGCCAGGTCAGTGAAATGCTCTCTGCAATAACTCTGGGCTTCATCCCAGGTCTTTCCCTCTTGAATGAAGTGGTACTCATAGAGGTGACATGTGAAGAAGGAACACTGACCTAAAAACAGAGACAATTCTGCAGTGATGGAGCTGACAGTATGACAAGCATCTGATCATCAAATCAAACTCATGACTACTAGAATCACCCCCACCTCTTACATCATCCCCTTCATCTTAACGGGGCTCTGAGGACACTTATTCCACGTTTTATTGTTATGAAGAGTGAGCTGTTTCATGACTCCAGATGTGATATCAGTTACACATCTGATGAGATGATCCACTTACCCATCAGAATCAGCACGAACTGAATCCACTGCATCTTTGCTCTGTTAGATGAAACCAATATTGTTATTGATCATTGATCAATCTTATAAATGATGTCAGTTACATTTAAATTATTTGAACACCTAATGTTTCAGTTAAATGAACACAAACACAGACTGCACCACTCGCTTCTGTGCAGTAGTTTAATGAAGATGTAAATGGAGATAAAAGGCACATTTAAAGCAACCCCATCAGTAACATACGGAGCCCCTAAAGGGACATGAACAAATAAATAAGAGAGAGAAAAAAGTCGGGATCACGGGTTAGTATCTCGTTATCCCGACTTCTCTTTTCTCTCTCTCTCTTTGTTGTTGTCCCTTTAGGGGCTCCGTAATGCACCGTAGGCACACACCGTAAAATGTATTTTTAGCAGATGAAAAGGTCTTATTTGAATGAAACATGCAAACACCAGTTAGAAACTAAACAATAACAGAATAGTGCCGTACAACAACACTGACTTTTCATGTTTTTTTATCAAGGCCATTATATTTTTCTGGTTCTATATTTTTTGTAGCCTACTATCAGAAACATACACTATGTTTTAGGTGTTGGTGAGACTTTATGGGTTCTTTAACCAGAACGGAGAAGTAAACTGAAATAAAAGCTTAATTAAATTGTGTATCGTTGCTTTTATAAGTCCGATTTAAAGATGTGTGATCATTTCTATACTATAGGTAAACTAACTATAATGAAAATTACATTGTGTTTATTTGAACTGAGAGTGAGATTGCTGTGTATACACATCGTCTCCAATAAAACATTTAAGATTTACCACCGTTTTTTGAAGCAGGAAAATAGTGGGTTTTTCAGCCCTGAGTAATGTCTACGGGACAGGCTGCATACATCGCCCACAAAGCTCTAAAAACCTAACATGAACCTGAAAGGTAAACAAAAATTCCAGTAGACTCAGACTAAATGTTTTTTTTTTTATTATAAATGTCCAGCGTTCTTGGTAAAGTGCCAACTTTTTGTAAAATGATTTTTGTTGTTTGTTTATGATTCAAAATGAAACATTGAGATTTTAATACAAATACATAAAATATTGTGATGTGAAATATAGTGATTTCAAGAGAAACAAATGATTTAAGGGAATAAATGAACATAATAGGGTTTTAGATTTCATTACTTCTGATTGAGATGTGATTCATTAAATGTTCCTCCCCTTTGGAAAATATTCTGAAGGAGAATATTTTCTCAAAAATAAACCAAATATGAAAATGACTGAACAGAATCACACTTACTTCTCCTGAGTCGTCCTGTCAGCTGCTTCTCTCTCTGTCTCTCTCGATGTGCTGGTGAAGACTCAGATATCCACGAGGTCGCTGCTCTCTTTGAGCCACCTTTGGGCAAACATTTGAATATTAAAATTCAGATGTCAAAGAGGTCTGTCATAGTGGATATATGATCCATTGATGGAAAGAATATCATTTACATGTAACAGGGAAAAAAGTTGAACACACTTCCTTGTTGACTGTCTGACACACAGAAAGAAAGGTACCATTCCAAAATATGTACTAATGATAACTATTGAATGTTTATATTTTTTATATTTTTGTTAGGATATTGCTTATTAACATATGTCAAACAGCTTTAAGAGAACATTCTGGCTGTATTTGAGCCCCTCATATTACAAGTGTGTCAATATTATTTTAATTTCAGTCACATAGTTTCTTTATTCTGAAACACAAGTCAAAAACATTATCTCTTTGTTGTCTCTATTCTTATGAGTCTGTCCATCCAGCTATTTCATTCCTGTGAAGGCTATATCTCAGGAGAACGTGAGGAATTCATTCAAGTCTTGCACAATCTTCCACTTGGACTCAAGGATGAATCAATTTCTGTCACATGTTTGACCTTTGATTGTGGTCAAAAGGCCAAAAGTCTCTGAGACCTCACAAAACACGATTTTGTGGCTGTAACAAGAATTATTATGTTAGCTATGACAAAGTCACTCAACTTTCTGATCAGTAAATAGCAATAATCGTGCATTAACAAGAACGTTTTGGGATTAGAATTTCTCAAAACAAAGAAGACTAAGTGTAAGCCACTGTGGGACACCAAAACACATTTTTAAACGACTTGATATGGAACGATTTGAAACTACTGCCTGATTTCTACAATAAAGATAGTGATAACAACCACCTATTAAACTGGTAATTATCTAGCTACACAGATCATGTTTAAAGTAAAAATATTAAATATAAATATACATAATACAGTAGGGATTACTGACTGATCCAGCCAGGCCATGTACAGAGCACTGGGGCAGTCGCTGTGTGGCACAGGAAGAGTCCCGGAATATTAACATCACATTTACATGAACATATCAAAACAGCACAACAAGAACAAAGACTGCTCTTACTTGACTTAGGAGGAAACATATCACAAGTCAAATGAGTGCACGCTATGGTTTGCAGCACAGCTCAACAGACCTATCCCATATGTCTCTCCTA